CCCAGCACAGACCCCTAGTGTCGTGAGCACCCCGTACGGATTGCACCCCATACAATCTCTGTGGCTGTGATGGCTGATGAGGTCCAGGGATGGTATTCGGAGGGGGCATGGACCCGGCCACCTGTCTCAGGTGCCTCCCTCACCTGTCCATGGCACCAGCAGCCAACTCTGCTGTCTGGAATTCTCTTTCCCTCTGCCCACCTGAAAAAGTCATCCTGCAAACCTCGACAGAGGGTTCCTGCCCCACAATGCAGGTGCTGAGGCCCCGCAGGATCAGTCAGTCCCTCTCCTGTCCGACTCTGTCTTGGCCCTGCATCCGCTGCCCACGGTGGAGAACAATGTTTTATTTGTGCCCGTATCCCTGGCACCTGGTACAGAGTCTGACACGGGGTCAGGGGTCTTGGCCAGCGCTTCTGGAACTGGGCACAGGGGTTAAATTTCCACGGACAGAGCTCTGCAGTTAAAGAAGGGATTATATTCCTCACCGTTGGGTTGTATTACAGGGAGAGAGCTTTCAGCACTAATTTACTGCAGGAGGTGATAAGCCAGGAGCTGGTCAGAGTCCTAGCGAGCACGGGGGCAGGACGAGGCCTCCGAAAGCACCGAGTCCAAAGTCCTTCATCCTGAACAGGGGAAACTGAGGCCCAGAGACGCCGGGACGAGGGCGGCGAGGCGGGTAAGCACCTAAGGGGAGGGTTGGAGCTGGTCTTTACATTTCTGATACTTTGTCCATCATGGATTTTTTTCATTAATTTGGATTTTTCAAAACATTGTATTACCTTGTTTACCTTGATTACTGAGTCCTTTGGTAAGTGCCCTGAATGCCTCACCTTAGTCCCAGCACTGGGACCAGAACCCGGCAGCCCCTCACCCGCCGGTGACTCTCCGTGACCCTGCACCTCCTCCACTTGACTGAATGATTCCCCTTGGGAGTTTTCAAGAGCAATATTTGCGGACATTTTCTCAGGCCACTGACAAGGACACCCCGTGCACCTGCCTGGTTAGGGACGCTCCTGCATAAAGCAAGGCAAACCTGCCTCCCACCTGGCCCGGCTGCGATACGAAAGAGAAATGCCGCCCCCTAGTGCCCGCTGCCCTGCATCACAGGCTGTAATCTCCACGGCCACCGCCACCACCTTGGGCAGCAGAACCGGCTTCCTCTGGTCCGCCAGGCTCTGCGACTAGACAGAGGCTCTCAGGAGGGAGGGTGGGGCGTCCCCCGGGTGGAGCGGGGGGGTCACCGTGTCAGTCCAGAGCAGGGAAAGAGCTCTCTACTCCTGGCCTTCTAAATGCCAAGTGGTGATTATTATCACCATTTAATAGCTGAGGCTCAGAGACGTGAAGCAACTTGCCCAAGGTCACACAGCTAATATATGCAACTGTAAAAAATTTAACCCGTGCATTTTACTTTTCAAAAATTATACTGGGATTGATAACGGTGAGAAGGAAATCGTGGCCATCTCACCATTGTTCTTTTCTTGCTAAAGCTCACACTGGAGTGTGCCATTTTACTCACTAGCCACTGAGGTGGAAGTAAGAAGGAGTAGAGACTAGCTTTCACAATAACTATTCGTTTGGGAACTACGCTATAGAACTTAGAAGATTTCACAACTATAACGTTATGTGTCCTGGCAATAACCTTAAGAGGTAAGGATAATTTTTTTAAAGACTAGGAAATAGAGACTCATAGAATTTAAGTAACTTTTGCCCAAACACACACCCAGGAAGTGGCAGAGCTGGGATTTGAACTCGGGGCTGCCTGATGATAACGCATGTGCTCTTTCCAGCATATCCGACTTTTAAAATTTGTTAAGGTCTTCTTTGTAGTGACATACAGGACCTTTTTATTAATGTTTTATGGATATGTGAAAACCCGATTCAAAATATACGAATTTTTTTCATATGCCTATTAGATTAAGTTCGCTGTTTGCACAATTAAATTGATCTCCATACTTTTTTTCTCCTTCACTAGATCCATGTCTGATTTCAAAAGAGCCATGTTCAAATGACCTACCATACTTGCGTTTTATCAAGGTCTCTGGCATTGCCACGTTGCTTGGCAAGTTTAAATTTATGAATGCCGTTAACTGCTTTATAACTTGTGTCATCATGAACTAGTGTTCTTTTTACCACAAATTCTACAAATTCATCTTAACCTTAACTTCTACCTTATCTGATATTAATACTACCACTCATGCTTTCCTTCTACTTGTGATTTTGGTACCTCTTTCCCATCCCTTGACTTCTAAACCATTAAAAAATAATTTGTGTTTATCTCATGATGATACATGTTTTTCTTCTTTTATTTTTAAAAAAATCTAACCTGACAGTTTTTGTCATTTAGTAGGAAAATTCAGTCTGTTCTTATTTAGCAACAGGGTTTTTCAAAATGGGACTCCTTCCAAGGGGCTACCGTGTGGATCTGTTGGTGACCAGTGGTCAGTCTCTTAATAGCAGACCGGGTGGCACCTGTTGGAACCAATGCTGTCTCATCCACAGGAAAGCCTTTAGTAGGTGGCTGTTTCCCTATTTATTCTACAGAGAGGTGTGAATATCTACCATGCGTCAGGCTCTGTGGCGGGCTAGTCATCAGGACATTTTAACAAGCTTTGGGACATATGGTGCTGGCCCCTTGTGACAAATCCCTTCCAGAACAAGAACCAGGCACATCTCTGCCTCCCCTGATTTACTGACTTCCTTCCTTCCATTTGACAATAAGAGAACTACACAACCGGTCACGCTCAGGAAGCTCACGGCTAAGCGTCGGTGGTTTTTCCCATACAGTGTTCTGTGTGTCTCTGATGTAATTTTCTCCTACTGCTTTCTTTTCCTCTCCTTTGGGATTTGGTGTTACTGGGTTTTTGGTCACTCTGCATCTGGGCTTTTACTTTAGGTCACCTGGAATCCTTTCAGAAAGTAAAAGCAAACCAAGAAACAACTTCATCTGACACGGTTGAGCTGTAAAAGACTGGTCCTCAAATCACCTGGCTTCTCAGCTGAGAAGCAGGCGTACAATTACATTAGTCTTAGAAAGAGTGAAGAAAAAAAAATAGGAGGGAACGTTAGTAGGGAAAAAAGAATCCCCCGAAAAAGTCAGCATAACTTTTATCCATCTCCTGGATATTGTAATGTGAAAAGCCAAAAATCCTCACGTGGTGATGAACTCCATCTTTATCGACTCCCCAGATGTGCAGAAGGCCTCACGCACAGGCTTTCTAACACTCTGCTCCCCACCCTGAGGCCAGCAGGGGAAACATTCCCGGAGGGTTCAGCTCTCGACTCTGTAAAGCTTAGAGTCTGCTCTCAGCTCTAGGAGAGGCCTGAAGATGGTGTCCCCACCAGAGTGCCTGGATCAGCTGTTCCCAGACTCCTTGGGGGTGGAGCCTCCGGAGGCCACGCCTTCCTCACAGGTGCTGGGAGCCATCGACCCACGTCCTTCCAGCCTGGCAACCAAGAAGGGACTCTCCCTAGAGGATGCATAACCCCGCCCCCAATGACGCAAGCCTGGAAGTGCTGACGTTCAGGCTCTTGTCTCCCACATTTTGAGAGAAAACCCAGGACTTGGCTTGGGGGGGTGGAACGCCTCGGCATGGACATGGCCCAGTCCGTGACCTCGGCACTCACGGCCCCGGAGTCAGAGCATCGCCGTGCCGGGTGAACAGAGAACGTTCTGACTGGTGCTACTGCCCTCGGGACCCTCACGCTGAGCCCAAGGATCTACGTTCCCCAGCGCTGTGGACTCCTGCTTTCTCATGTCCCCTGCATCCTTCCTTAGAAGGGAATTCAGAGAAGCATGCTACGTGCCATTCCAGCTCAGCCCATTCTGAATAAACGGGGTGGGGGGGACTGGTTAGTGGGATGGGCGGGGTTCCCTCGAGCAAACCATGCAGAAGCACCTGGGCCCCGGACACACACAGCAGCAGGGCCCACAGAGCTCGAGAATGACAGAAAGGCCCGAGGACACCCACAGCTTCCGTGGTGGCATCCCTGTTCTTGGATGTGCCCCATGGCCTGGACCCTGGATTTGAGGTCTGCCTGAGGGGTCGCTGTCCCCTGCGTTACACACTTGTTGCTGGGACTGCCCCAGGGCAACACACGGGGACTGAGGTCTGAGTGGCTTCTCTTGGGGGGTGAATGGCCTCCGTTTGTGGACAAACTTCCTCCGACCGGGAAAAGAATGCCTCAATGGTAGCAAGTCTCCTGGGGCTGTGTGTGTGTGTGTGTGTGTGGCGGGGGGTTGGCGGGGGGTCTGGTGTCATCACGCCTGCTCCACCTGAGGGGTCCTCACTGGAGACCTAGCAAAGCTGTGGGGAGAGGGACAAACACGAGGGCCCAGCTGCAGGGGACAAGTCAGGCACCACGCTGTCTGGGCTCACGTTGTCATATCCCCGGATTCAGAGAGCTGGGAAGGGGGCAGTCAAAGCAGCCTTCAGCTGGGAGTGGGCAGAGAAAGCCGGCCCCTCGGTGTGGCACCAGTAACGGTCACAGTGCTCAGGGCAACATCAGTGGTAACCATGGTGATGGTACTAACACTGGGGAGGAAGGGCGCTCCAGGGAAGGAAGTGGATTTTGGGCCCACATGGCTCACGAAACCCCTCCATCCTTTAAGATCCTTATTAGGCTCTAGGTCACAGGAGAAGGACGGTCAGGAGGGCCTTAGAGAGGGTCTGATTCCTCTGGGTGGCCCCGCTGCCCCTGCCCCCCGACACTGAGGTCTCCCTGGGGGCTGGGGGCTGGGAGCAGAGGGGAAGAGGGGTGTTGCCGGGTGGTGGTCTGGCCCTGGGTAGAGCAGCAGGCAGACGTGGGTGGGTGAGCAGGGTCCCCAGGGCCCGTCCTCCTGGCGGTGTGGTCACCAAGCTGTGGGAGCCACCCTAGCTCACGGTGGCCGTTAGTACGCATGTGCTGGGGAGGGCGTGCGGGGCCAGTACCTACCCGGTGGTCCAAGCCATTCTTGCCATGTCCTGGGACAGGGTCAGACTTGGAATAGGGGAACCCTGAAACAGACACAGCACAGCTGTCACGCATGCAGCCAGGTCGGCGGGGCTGCACAGGTGACATGGGACGGCCCTGAAAATCCCACCTGCCTCATTCGAGACCTCTATCCCCAGGGCACTGACTGAGGATGAAGCCAGGAAGTGGGGGACGTCCCGGAGCCCACCCATGACACCAGGAACGTCACGGAGCCCGAGCCGGCCTGGCAGGCACCTGCATCCTCTGGAAGCCTCTATCACCAGGCCAAGCTCCTCACCTGGCTGACCAGGAGAGCGGGGGCAGAGGGAGGAAGGGGCCCCCATGCAGGGTAGGGCTGTGCTAACCTGTACCAGAGGCGGCCAGCGGAGGCCCAGCACCACCAGAGGCGGCCTGCAGACTACTTTTTCAAAACCCTTGACCTGTTTGCAGTTGGGGGATTTCACATTAAAATCCTAATTTCTAGCTTCTCAAAGGGCCAGTCTGAGACACTGGGCCCTGGATTCCCTGTGGGAACCCCACACCTGGTCTCCCTCCATCGACCACATCCCTGGCTGCTCTGGGGAGCCTAGGACTTTGAGACCACCCAGTGAACCGCTTCAATGCCACGTCTGGAGAGAGCAGAGCGGAAACTCCTGGCTCAGAAGTCCGTGTGGGATGTGCCCCAGAAGGGAGGCCAAGGGGCACAGCCTGGGCCCCCTGGAGGGGCAGGGGACCTCCACCACCCTCAGAAGCACCCTTAGGAGGCCTTTCCCGGCTGCCTGAACTGTCTTTCCATAGCCTGTGGGCCCGTAAAAAGCAGGGGCCATGTCTGATGCATCTGGGGGGTCCCTGTGCCCCACAGCTCAGGCAATAGCACTGGCTCCTGGGAGCCACCAGGCTGCCCGCGAGGGCTCAGAGCAGACGGCGGGTCCCCTCCCTCTGTGTTCACGAGGCTGTAAGCCGGAGGACTGAGCCTCCAAAGGTGAGACGGGCGCTGTGCACAGAACTGCCTGTCCGTCCACCCACCCGCCCACTCCAGGGAGGCCCGCTTCTGAGCACAGGATGCTGGTCGATCCAGGCGCCTGTCTTGTGGGGTGGAGGGTCAGAGAAGACGTTCTGTACAGGTCACACCTGTAGGAAAGGCCTCAGCTGGGGACCTGCCTCGGGGACTTGTTTGTCCCAGGGTAGTCTGTGGGAAGGTTCCAGATGTGGGTCAGGAAGGGCCTTTCACGACATCAAGGGCAGGGTTCTCAAACTGGTTTTAGCCAAGGAGCCCTCTTGTCATAGGAAATCGATGTGAAAACTCCAATACATGAAACAGAGGAGAGCGGAGCTAGAGGAAGAGTAGCAGGGCCAGACGCTCAGGCCAGGCCTGCCGGGCATCCCTCGCCCCTCCTGGTTGCCCTGGGCTCCGCCAGGTAAGTGACCTAGCCAGCTCCTTCCATTTCACAGAAGGGGAACTGAGGCCCGGGGACACAGAGGGACCTGCCCAAGGTCACCCAGCCCTGGAACACAAGACAAGGGCCTCCTGACTTACAGTCCTGAGGTCCCTCCAGGACACACCTGCTTCCCAATTTACACCCAGAGCCAGGCACACTTGGGCATGTGAGGCTGTCGGGCTGAGGATCTAAGGGACCCTCAGCTGAGACCCAGGAGCTCCTGATCAGTCGGGGATGCCAGCGTAGTCTTCTCAAAGTGGCGTCTCCAATAACAAGCTCACCAGCCACGCCTGGGAGCTTGCTACAAAGGCAAATTCTCAGGACCCACCCCAGACCTACAGACTCAGAATTCTGGGGCTGGGGTCCAGTGGTCTGTGTTTTCCAAGCCCTCCAGGGCATTTTGATACACACTAAGGCTTGGAAACCCTTAGGGCCCCGAGAACAACTATGCCCTCACCTCCAGCCTTACCTGCTCTAAACCAGCGGTTCTCTACCTGGATGCACTGCAATCACCTAGCCAGCTTCTAAAATCCCCTGTGCTCAGGCTGCCGGCCTCTGGTCTCACAGTAGGTGTAGAGACCTTACTTCCACTCAGGCCACTTCATCTTCCTCACTCATCAACTATGACTGTCTTCGCTCTTTCTTCTACCTGCCTTGAGTTCCCATATCGGATGGTGTAACAATTTTTGCTTCGATCATCAATGATTTAAGAAACTCATCACAAGAAGGACAGGCTGTTATACTGACCCCTATTTTAACCTGTTTTGATGTTCTTCCTTTCTGAATTTCCGAGCTCTCTTATCACTTCCTTTCTGTTTGGAGAACTGCTTTGAGCCAAGTACGTCTGCGAGTGAAAACTTGTCTTAGTTTTCCTTTGTCTGAGAATGCCTCCATTTTCCATTCATTCCTGAAGGATATTTCCATCCGAGATAGAATTCACATCCACAGCAAATGTCTTTTTGCACGTTAAGTACGTGCCATCTTCCTCTGGCCTCCACGGTTTCTGGGGAGAAGTTGGCTGTCATTTGCGTTGGTGTCCCCGGTAGGGAGTATAATATGTCTTTTCTCTCAGGCTGTTTTCAGTATTATTTTTTTCTGTCTTTAGTTTTTGTAAGTTTAATTATGATGTGTTTTGGTGTGGATTACTTTGAGCTTATTCTACTTGGGGTTCACTCAGTTTCTTGAGCGTGTGAAGTTTATGGCTTTTGCCAAATTTGTTAAGTTTTCAGGCGTTATTTCTTTGAATATTTTTCAGACCCATTCTCTTCTTTCTGGGACTCCAGTGATAGAAGTGTTGTCTGACAGGTCTCTGAGGCTCTGTCCATTCTTTTCTGCTATTTTCTCTCTGCTGTTCAAGTTGGATAATTTCTGTAGTTCTATCTTCAAGTTCACTGATTCTCTCCTCTGACAAATCCCACTATTCTGTTATTGAACCCACCCAGTGAATTTTTGAATCTTGGTTATTTTATTTTTCTTTCCCATAATTTCCATTGGATTCTTTTTTTTATAACTTGTATTTCTTCTGCGAGATTTTCTTTTTTTCTTTTTCATTTGTTTCAAGAGTATTTGCAATTGTTTGTTGAAGCAGTTTTGCGATGACTGCCTTAAAAATCCTTCTCAGGATAATTCCAATATCTGATTCTTTTCCGTGTTAGGACGTGGTGATTGCCTTTTCACATTCAAATAGTTACCTTCACGGTTCTTGGTGTGATGAGTGATTTTCCACTGCATCCTGGACATTCGGATGTTATGTTGGGAGACCTGGATCCTAGCTAAGTTTTCCATGTCAGCAGGCTGTCCCTGTGCTTAGGTTTAACATGTGGGGCATGGCTTATTATGGGCTGTGAGTCCGAAGTCAGTTTAGTTAAAGTGCTCTTCTGGTCTGCTGCGTCCACCTGGCGTTTCCAGTAGCAACCTGGGGTGAAAGGTGCTTCCCTGGTTGCCCCATACCCCGAGGTGGGGGTGGGAGACACCAGCCATGGATGGAGAGTGTTTCCCTGGGCCTATTCTCTAGGCTGCTGGGTGCCAGTGGGCCTTCTGCTGGGTACCAGGGAGGGCAGTCATCTACTTGGTCACCTTGTCCACTGCATGGGAGGTGAGAGACACTGGTCCCGCATATTTCCTCAAGTCCTCAGTTCTCTGGCCAGTCCACCTTCCTCTCTCTACCCTCCAGAGTTCTGTGATTGTCTACTGTCCTACTGTTCTTGGGCCTTTCAGTTGTACTGAGTGGGAAAGAGCAGGGAGAGATCACATCCCTGGGATGCTACCAAGACCCATTAGAATTGGCCTCTCTTGGGATGGGACCAGCCATCAGTAGATTTCTGAGGTCCCAGGATCCAATGTGCAGCCGAGATTGAGAACCACCTGTTTAAAAGGTCCCTTCACGTACTCAGAGATTTTCTTGACCGTCACAAGCCAAGGCATTACACATGAGCCCATTTTACATTTCAGGAAGCTGAGGCCTAGTGAAATTAAGTGACCTGTATAATATCAAATTGTTACTCATGAAGAGGATGAGACAATCTCCCAGGACCCTAGCTTCGGGAACCAGTAACCCTATCTGCTCCAGCAGCTCTGCCCTGGTGAGGGTTTGCAGGTGTGGGAGTCTTCTAGGGAACTGCCTGGCCTGTGGCATTGGCTGGCCTTAAGAGTGTGTGCTGTGTGTATATTAGAGAGAGAGAGAAGGCGCAGCGGGAGAAGGCAGGTGTGCCAGACCTGGACAGGTGGCAGCTGGGTACTCGTGACCCCGAGTTGTATCAGGCCCTGTAACCACTGGACACCTGCCCACGCCCCATGTCCAAGCTCAGCCTAACTAGTCTCCCCGTCACCTCCTCCCAGAAGCCCACCCGTGGCAACCTTGCCCTCAGCATTCTGCTGGGATTGATCTTGGGTCTCCTTGCGTCTGTCCATCTTCTGGGCTGGCTTGTCAGAGGTTAGAGGAGCCACTGGACGGATGGGCAAGGAAAGGCCCCTTGCAGGTGGATGACTATTCCAGGTGCAGCTACAGGCACACGGCTCATCAGAGCATCCAGGATGCTTTGTGGACAACGGTCAGGAAGCCATTTCTCTGGGCAGATCTTTGTCAGTTTCACCGGGATGGTGAACGGTTTTCAGTTCACTGATGTACGAATATGTAAGCTTGCAGCTGCGTGGCCCTGTGCAGGTTCGGGTCCCCTCTCTGAGCCTCGGCAACCCCGTCTGAGGAAGGAGGGGCTGGGACCCCCTTCAGCCCCTAGGAACATGAACAGGAGGCCCCTTGGGCCGTCTGAGCTTCAGGCTTCAGAAGCAAGCGAGAGGGGTCCACTCACCATGGCTGGCTTGTGGATCTGACCAGCTCTGTGTGACACCCCGGGGCTCAGCCCATAGGATGCCCACGTTTGAGCCCCAAAGCCCGGGTGCCGCCTGCCAGGAGGACTGGAACATCCCCACTTTTACAGACGAGGCAATTCCAAACTCAGAGAAGTTTGCTCTCGTACCCAAGGTCACATAGCAAGTGAGAGGCTAGGATTCAACCCAGCGGGATCGCACCCGCATCTAGCCATCTCTGCTGACCCCTCACGTGATCTCATGCACTCTGTCGCTCCCCCCCTAGCCCCCACCGTGCTGGGGCCCACGAAGGAGGGAAGACCTGGGCACCCGCCACCCCATGGGCACTCACTGGGGGGCTGCTGTGGGCACAGGGGGAGGCACGGGGGGCCCATCTGGACCCTGCTCCCCAGGAGCTAACAGTCCTCAGGGCAGAAAAGGACACACAGGGTCATAGATAAGGTGCTCCCGGCGGGGGTTGGGGGAGGGGAGACAGAGCTCCCAGGTGGGTGGGAACACCTCAAGACCTGGGCAGAGTTGTGTGTAGGGGGACAGAGGAGGCCCTGAGAGCTGTGACCTGGGACGTGGGCTCCTTCCCCCGGACACCTGAGGGTCTCAGGCACTGCCTGCGCCTCTGCCCACAAATCTGAGGCCACACCCTGTCCAGTTCCCCAGCTGGGGGCAAGCCTGCCCATCACGGGGGGCACAGGGACCTTTGCTAAAAGCGAAGAGTCCCAGCCAGCCCCCAGGGAACGGCAGAGGGCTCTGTCCTGGTGCCCCCCTCTCGCACCTGGAGGTGGCTTCTCCTGGGCCAAGGTCCCCTCCCTGACGTCTGGAACCCTCACTGCTCTTGCTGGGGCCGAACGTGAGCAGGGGGCAGAGGGTACTCTGTCCCTCCAGCTGGAGGCCAGGCAGGCCATGCCCTCCTCAGCGGGCTCTGCCCCAGGGGAGTCCCAGCCACCTGCTGGATGCCGGGTGCCGGACGCAAGCCCTCCAGCTCCCTCGGGCCTCTCCCTCCCAGCCTTCCCCCGCCCCCTCTGCTGGCCCGGGCTCTCTCATCCCTGGGCCTCAACATGAAGAACCCACCTTGTTCCTGCCCAGCTGCGAACAGAGGTACCTCCACCCACCTGCGCCAGGACGCCCCGGTCATTCCTGATTCCGCGCCCCCCGCCCCACCCCTCCTCGACTGCTTGCACCAGTCCTGCTGTTTAGACTGTTCAGGGGGGCCTCCCCATGGCTTATCTGGACACCCCAATCCCTTGAGCCCCAGCCCAGCAGCCTCCAGTCTATCCTCTGCAAAGCTGCCCGTCCGTGTCTGAACACATAAAACACATCACCTCATCTCCTGCTCACGGCCCTGGCGCACCGACCCCGGGCCCCAGCAGACAGAGAGGAAAATTCCCAGCATCACGCACAGACCAGCTGTTTCTGGCCGCCCTCTCCCGCCTCCCCACTGGCTTCCTGTTTCCCAAACCGCTGCTCAGAGCACCCCAGGACACCCCCAAAAGACTACCTCCCCCAGAACCCTCCCCCAGCCTGGATGATGGCAATTCCCCTCCTGCCCCGACAGTCCGGCTGAAACCTCAGTCAGAGGCGGCCAGGGCTCTGCTGAGAACCCTTAGGTGCGTCCTCCACTCCGAGGCCAGGACGAGCCCTCCCAAGGCCCATAAAGCCCTCTGTGACCCTGCGCATCCCAGGCTCCAGCCCTTCCGCAGAGCCCAGCAGCCAGGCTTCACCTCTGTCAGGAGGGCTCACTCCCACACCTACCCCTTCAAGCCTGCAGCCCTCAAGCCTGCTCACTTAGCATCTCCCTTCCCCGAGCCATCGGCAGCACCTGGCCCCCCGACCTGCATGCGCCATAGGCCTTACTTTCTAATGTGCTTTCTGTCTGTGTCCCCGCCTCCTCTGGACCGTCAGCTCCTGGGTCTGGGGTGCTGTCTGTTTGGCCTCTGCTCCGGCCCCAGGACCTGTTCAGTGGTCACACCCTGTCTCTGGGCCTTCTCTTGCTTGTCCAAAAATGAGGGCCAGGACTGAGGTCCCGTCAGTGTGATGCTTATGGATCCTGCCCCTGGGGTCCTCAGGTCCCAATGCCCAGACTGAGGATGGCCAACCCCCCCAAAATTCTCATGGGGTTGGCAGACAGCGAATCAGGTCTCTCTCTCTTTCAGCCGTGGACTAAGAAATGTGAGAATGACTTTTTCTTGCCTGGAAACTCCAGAGGACTTAACAGGGGGTGAGGAAAGCCACTTCTGGCCAGGCCTCAAACCTGCTTTCCTCCTGCCAGCAGGGAAGGAAAAGTGGAACAGAGGTGCTGTCTCCCGAGCTTCACACTGGTGGGCACTGGGGGTGGGTGACCCAGGAAGCAATCTCGGATCCCAGCCCCAGACCAGGCCCGGACTGGGTGGGCAGCAGGCGAAGACAAGGGGACGGGACTCCATGGGGACAGACACACAGAGGGTGACGTAAAACCGCAAAACCACAGGCAGGGTGGGCGTGCAGTGGTCCCCACGGGACCAACCATCTGCACTGCCTTGGTCTCTAATGTGCAGCTTTCCTCACCCCGACCTCCAAGCCCGCCCTAATTCCCCTCACGGGCTGGGATTTGAGGGAAGGCCTTATTCCCTTTGGCAGGGTGGGGTCCTTTCCACGGGTCACTGAGCCCTCAGGGAAGGGTCTCCAGCTGGCCTGGGGCTTTGTCTTACTTCAGCACACCTGTGACCACCTGGAGGGGATGTGGGAAACCTCAGAAGGGAGGACAGGACGTGAAGGGTTAGGAAGGTGGGACCCAGAGCAGCAGCAGGCCGGTCCACAGGGTCTAGACCAGGGGAGGGGGGCCCACACCACCTCGTGTTCTGCTGGGGCAGTGAATCTCATCCTGTAAGACTCAAGACCCTCTTCTTGTAACAGAAAATCAATACCATCCCTTTCCTGTGCAGAAATCAGATTCATCGATAATATAACCTACTACATGCATAGTCCAGATAATGCCCTAAGTGTAGCATAAAGGAAAATGAGCTGTCTGTCATACAATGTGTATTTCAATGACACCTCCTTCGGAGGGGCTGTCAGTGCTGGCTGAGAACCACTGCCATAGCGGAGAGGGATGTCACACTGGTTTGTCAGTTGTCTGCTTCCCTGGGGAACAGGCACTGGGCCATATTCACCACCTCCTCTCCGCTGCCTAGCACTGTGTTCAGCACATAGTAGGTGCTCAGTTAATGTCTGGTGAAGGGGTGGATGAATGACTGAATGATGAATTCAGTCTCAGGTGAGATGTGCTGATGGTGTCATGAGTGGGATGAGGTTGTGCGTGGCCCCGGAGTGCCCACGGAGGACCCCAGGCAGGCGGCGGCAGGGTGCGTGTGCACTTGCTCTCAATGGCGTCTTTGCCTGTCCCAGCTCCCTGCACGCGTCTCTGGGTCAGGGGCTGCTCTTCTCGGTCTCCCCCTCGGTGCCCTACACAGCGTCTGGCACACAGTGGGCGCTCAATAAATACCCGTTGAATTTAATGCATCTCAATTCAACAAACATTTATTGAGCGCCCACTGTGTTGAGCGTCACGATCCTACCCCCCTTGGGTGCGCTACAGATGGATGTCCCAGGGATGCAGGCAGGCGTGCCTTGCCACATGCAAACACTTTGTTCATTAACGGTTGTTTGCAAACGAAACTGGTGTCGATGGACTCACGGTTGGGGGCTACATGGTGAGATTGGAAGGAACCCGAGAAGAGAAGGCGGATACCCCTCTCTTCTCAGTTTAAGAGTGTGCTCATCCCGTCCAAATGTCTCAAGAGGCCGGCAGATAGCAAGGCACGCCTGACCTAGGCATGACCAGCAGCCTGTGTCCTCGCTGCTATTTCCATGCACGTTGGGAAACAAGGCGATGTCACCAGGACAGAAATAAAGGCACAATTGCAATTGTTAGACACAGTGGGTTTCCCGTTCGGAGGAATTGACGTCAGAACATGTGTAGAAAGCGAAGGGATGACAGAACCATTGTCATGGTCATCGTGAGCCTGCATCCCTGAAGGAGGAGGACACACATGCACACACACACACACACACACACACACACACGCAGGTTGTTTGTACTTTGGAGGGTTCGCCCCAGTTAGAGCACGAATTCTAGCATAGGCTTTCCAATTCCTGCTGGCCGGGCGCACCTGGATGGGAGGCGGTCCATTCCCATCCGCGGCTACACCTGCAGCTTGTGATCGGAACACGGCACCAAGGAACGGGGCCGACAAACAGACCTTGAAGGTGTGTGACTGGCCAAAACACTTGCGCAGCCTCCGCGTCTCACAGGGCCTACCGCCTGGGGGACGCCTGGGACGACCGCAGGGCGCCTCGTCCAGCACATGCAGACGAGGAAGCAGTGCACAGAGGTGAGGAAACACGAACGGGTCAGCGCGGCACAGGGAGGTCCCCACGGGGCGGCCCGTCTCCTGCCCAGGCTTCTCCCCAGATGGTGTCCCCACCTCCCTAAGCCCCAAGCCACAGGCAGACCAGAAGGTAAGTGGGACTCCCTGGGGACAGCAGCTGCCCCCCTGAGGAGAGACAGCGCGGGGAGCTGCAGATGTAGGCCCACCCACCTCCCAGCAAGGGAAGGACTGAAGCTAGAAAAGACCACCCTGAGGACCCCAGACAGTCCTTTCCTGGGTGCTCTCGAGTCCCGGGGCTAACGCTTTGGTGCCCTCAAGGCATGGGGGCTACTGGGGGCTGCTGGCCGGCTGGCGAAGCAGGAGCAATCCACCTTCCAAACTCAATTGCGTTAGGAAACACAAAGTTCAAAACAGAAAAGGCCATGGTCAAGGCCAGTGTCCGGGGGCCACATGCAAGTCCTGCATTACCCCTCACCCCTCACTCTGCCGCTGGTGGGATGGGCAGCCTGCCTCGGCCCTTCCAGATCCTAAGCAGGAGAAGCACGCCTCCGTTTGGACGAGACCCTCTGGGGGACTCTCCGGTGTGACCTTCCAACGGGGATGTCAGCCCTGTGCTCCGGCTCTGGATCCCATTTAGAGAGCAGAGGCCCAGGCGGACGGGGCCCGGGGCACACAGACATCTGCTTACAGAGATCACACACAAAACGACACACGCTTTCCCTGTTTAGACATCTTCTTTAACAAGTGATCACCTCCACGCTTCTCACCCTCTTCCCACGTCGGAGCACACGCACTTTCATTTGCGAGACGGTTTACAGTCACGAGAACGGTGGTGATGACGATGAGCATCTACTACGGGCCCGGCCAAGTGCTGGCTGCACACGTGGCACCTCCTCCGGGTCTCTAACGACCCCGCCGGGCACACAGGTGAAAATGGGGCCCAGCGAGTGGTGAGCCAACATTTGAACTCAGGTCTGTCTTACGGCAAAGCCAGTGTCTTTCCTTGGCTTTCTCACGTCCACAACCATCCCCTCCTGGCCTCTGCTTCCAAGCTAAGCCTCCAGCTTGTCCACAGAAACCCACCCACAGCTGCTGAGACCCAAAGACTCTGCCCACCATCCACCGCGGGCATCAGACGGCAGCTTGCTGTCGTTTCCGCCTATAATTTACAGCCTCTGGACGTGAAGAATGTTATATGGGGAGTTTGGCCCGGCATCTGAAGGTCACGCCTACTGCAGCTTCACGACCCCCCGGATCAGGCAGACGGGGTCTTTGTCTCCTGCACTCCCTGAGGATCTGTAGTCCCAGCTCCCGGCCCCTCGCCCAAGATGAGCACAGGAGACACGATAATGCCGTTCTCGGCTCCGAGTCTGGACTCGCCCCCCTGGACCATGCTCCTGTCCGCTCCGGAGGGAGCCGGGCCCTCAACTTCCAGCCTGGCAGCCTGCAAGCCCTTTTCCCAAAGGAGCCCAGGAGCCTGAGTTGGCCTTCTGCCCTCTTGCCGGCTCTGGAGAGTTCCGGGAGACGCTGGCGTGGCCCTTGGGCAGCAGGCTGGCTGAATCAGGGTGTCACCAAGGGAAGCCAGCACACGGCTACTGGTCTGCTTCCTACCGGGCTTGCCATTCTGTATGTGGGTTTGCTCTCGTAGTTTTTAATGAGCAAGGCTTAGTTCTGGGGGGGATTGGCTCGAGGTTGTGGGCCCCTTTTCTGTAAGGACTTTCATGCCACACTGACAGCTCCTTGCTCAAAAGAACCACTCACGTGAGTAAATGTTGTCCCCTGGCATCGTCTGGAGAGGGCCTCTATCAGTCCCGCTACTGTGGGCCAAAGACTGGCTGTCTAGGTCTGGAGAGTTGGTCCTAGTGTCTCCGTCCCCCTTGAGAAGTAGCCAGTTGGTCTTCTGCTGAGAAAGAAAACAGAAGTGAATTTTGAGGTCACCTGCAGTGGCATCGCCCCACTTTACAGAGGAGGAAACTGAGGCTCAGGAAGGTCAGGGCCCACATGGCTTCACAAGGGGACAGTAGGGTAAGCCAGCCTTGGGCTCTTTCCACACACACCTACCTTCCTTAAAAGACAAGCAAAGGGGGTCTTACCTCTTGAGCCCGGGTGGGCGGGCAAACTCAGCCCATGGGCCAAACCCTAAAATATGCATTTTGATTTGTTTTCCTTTCTTATCAGACATCTCCTTGGTTCTAGAACCATGACCAAGTTACACGGCATAGAATGAGGACTTTGGTAGTAGACGTGCTAGTCCTAACTGTGAGGGGGCTGGCAGCACCACCTCTTCGATTTGGTCCCCGTTCCATGTGGCCCTGCCTAATCCCTAAGAAGCACAACCTAAGGGGAGGAGCCTGAGGCTTGAAGCTGGAGAAGTCCCCACAGAACCAGGTCTGCCCCTGCATTACCTTCCTGTTATCCGCGTCGAAACTTCCGTCCTCCCCATCTGATCGCCGCCCGGCTGGAAGGGAAAAATCAATGTCAGGGCAGCGCACCACAGATTCTGGGTTTGCATGTGTCAGTTCCCACTTCACAGTCATGCTCAAAGATGGAAAATAATCAAAGAAAAGTCGCCAGCACTCGTACTTTTAAGGGCTGAGGAACCAGACCAGCTGGCGAAGGTCCCCGCAGGAATGTGGCCTGGGGAGTGCCCGGGGCCTTGCACAGGATGTGCTAAATCAAGAGCAGATGTGCGAAGTGATGCCTCATTTACATTCCAGCCAACCACCCTGCGGCCACTTGGCATTTCGAAGAACATACTTTCTATCTTCCAAGTTCAAAGGAACAGAAGGGCCCGGCGATCCAGCCCCTACTGGGTCAGACTCAGCTGGGTGCGTCACGGACATTACTGCTCATCCCCACCTGACCCATTTCACAGATCAGAGGACTGAGGCTCAGAGACATGACGCGCCTTTCTCAAGATCACGGATCAGCGGGTGGCAGAGGCTGGCGTTTGAACCCAGGCCGTCTGACTCTAAGCCCTTCCTCTGTCTGCCCCACCTCACTGCTCGCAAAACACAAAAAGGTGAGTGAGCTATGCCACTGGGAGAATTCCACGCAGAGCAGTAAAGAGGGTACAACGTACAACCAGAGGTGTGCTCTATGGAACAGAGCAAGCAAACGTCTGTTATTCAGCAGACTACCTAGAGCTGAGTCAAGAGGTGTCTGTATTCTCCATTTGCCTGTTTGGGGATGGGGGGTTGTCACTCAGCCGGGCTGACATTATCTCCAACCAAGCATGATGAGATAAATCACACGAGGGCAGGTTGACGGTTCTCAGCATCCAGTTCGGTAAAGACCCATACTGTGCCTCCCAAGGTAAATCACTGACCCGCATGCAAGGAACGATGAAAGGAGAGACCCCAGTGTCCTTCGCCACCTGCCGCAGAGACCGAGGCCATAGTAAGGACATGCCAAGGGTGGGCTCCTTACCTGCAGCCTGCGGAGGGCTCGGACCTTCTAGCCTTTTGGAGCACCCTGCCTTGTGCACCACCAAGGACAAGACAGACATCAGGCCCGAGAGCTTGGAAATTGGGGATTGGGCTACAGGACCTTGACGAGATAAGGCCACAAGTGAAGATGGTTCTGGATACACTGACATTTCATTACTCCCGACGGCCACCTGTTTCTCCGTCTCCCAGGAGAGACAGTGGTTTTCAAAGTGAAGATAAAAACCCTGCCGGGTCTACTTGCAGAGGCAAAGTGATGACAAGCCTGCGTGCGGGGCACCGTGCAGGAGGGGCAGGGAGCAGGGGGCTCAGAGGGACGCATGCCCGTCAGCGTAGGCTCTCCTGTTTCCTGGACAACGGCTGTCGCCAGGCAGTGGAGCCTTGAGCGTCTGACCGTGCATCGGCCGGGATTCTTGGCAGCTGCGCTGTCGCCCCAGGGACATCGGGCCGGCGGCTACTTGGAGCTCTAAGACCACTGCCCTCGTCCAGCCCAGAGAAGGCCTCCAGGGCCAGGTCTGCTGGTAAAAGTAAGCTAGCTGGATCCTTGAACAGCCCACAGAGGCCCCCGAATGGACCGAATGGACAGCCACACTTGGGGTAATTTGCAAATGCAAAAACAATTAAGTGGCTCCCACCAAAGGGCTTTTGGGAATGTGAGATCCCAGCGGCCCTCCTGGGTCCGAGGACTTTCCATAGCCTCGGGGAGCACATTGGGCCAGACAAACGCTGCCTGTAGAGCTACCTCAGGGCTTAAAGAAGGGCCCCACCTCCAAAAAGGGGGGTATCCCACCAAGATTTAGCCAGTTTTCTCTGCAAACGCCACCAGCTCCACGAGGTGTGCACAAGCTAACCAGACTCAAACCAAGGGCTTTCCAGAGCCCCAGTCTCTGCCAGTCCGCAAAACACCCAACGGATTCTCTCGAGAAATGGAGCACGGCTAGGAAAACAGAGGAACCCGGAGCTTTGTGTTATTTTCGGGCTGCTTCCTTAACAGCTCTGAGCCTCAGTTTCCTGATCTGTAAAATGGGCAAATGATGCCCCCCCCTCCAATTTACGAGGATCGCATGAGATAACACGCAGGTGCTGTCACATGATGGGGAGCTCAGCTTACACGTTTGGAATATTAGGAATAAAACGAGAGGCTAACCGGGCCGCTAATTTGTAACATGCCGTTTCAGAGTCTCGGGAAAAGACAGATCAATTCAGGACAAGCAGAGAAGTCGAGTTGCGTGTGTCTTTCCTATCACACAAGGCAGCTCCTTCCGAGCCCTGGAAAGTATTTACCAGTGAGTACCCTTTTGGGAAAGGCTGAGTCCGACTCCCTGCGTCCCTTGGGACCTTTATAGGGAGCGTCCCAATGAGAGGGGGAGGTCTCTAATTTTCTTTCTGGATACAGGGCCATTCCCTTTCCTCCCATCCCCAAACCAAAATGAGACCCGACCCCACTACAAAGGAATCCCAGAGACACATGAGATGTGATTAATTCCCGTCTTAAACCAGGCGCCAAAGAAAGAGCTGAGAGTACAGGCTACATGGGTCGCCTTTACCGTCTGGCGTGGGTGGGCAGCTCTGGGAGGTGGGAGCGAGCCCCCAACCGTCTGCAGGTGTGGGAGGTGGTGAGACACCACCCCTGCTTCTTGGGCCTGCGTCTCCGCACACATTGCCATCTGATGGCTCACGTGCGCTTACCAAGGAAACAAAACGTCTGTCCGTGCAGCTGGACAGTGAGCTTCCTGGGGAATTTGGGGGAGACATTACTTTTTCCTCTTGAATTCACTTTAAACAGTCTAAAAACTGGGCCAGCTTCACTCCATTGAGAGGAAAGTCCCTGCTCTGTGCCAAGCATCACGGGGCCTCATGCAGAGCCCCTCGAAGCCAGAACCCCATTCTTCAGAGCGAGAGACGGAGCTGGCAGGGGAGCGGCTGCGGCTGGAATCCTGTCTGCCTCCCAAAGAATCCTGGGTTCAACACTGCGATTGATTCAGGACCGTTCGAAAGACACCCAAAATGTCCCCATAGCAGCTGGACCTTTAGCGGGTGGTGGGAGGTCCCCCGCACCCCACCTCCCAGCCCGTCCAACGCCCTCTGCTGGTCCTGAAGCATCTCTGCCTGACGGGATGTGGTTCTTCCTTCCCTTTATTCTTATTTCCCATTCAGTTCCTTTGCTTCCTTTCTTCCCTTTCTTATTCTTTTTTGAAGCCATTAAATTGTAACCAAGTAGAATTGGAACTAAGGTAATCTAAGAAAACACTATTGGTTCCTAATGATGCAAAATGATATAAAATAAGAGTGGTGGGTTCAGGGGTCAGGCAGACCTGGTGCGACTTGGCCATCGACGGGTCACTTTGTGGCCCTGGCCTTAGTCTCCTTGTCTATAATAATACCTGCCTCAGGGCTGTGTTGAGATGAAACCCCAGCATGACCATCCTCATGCTGGAGGCTCATTTCCCAAAAACACCAATGGGACTAGAGCACCAGAGAAGAGTGTTGCTAATTTAAAAAAAAAAACAGAACAAAAAACAACAACTTTTGATGAGTTGGAAATAAAAAGTTGAAAAGTAAATACATTAATTAAAAAGCGTAACATTTTAAAACTCACTGAGAATATTATCTTAAGCTAATTAAATGGTCCAGGAACTCGACATCATCACCCGGAGTTTGTTTCCGGAAAGTCTGGCTACTAAAAGGATGGGTTCTCCTGAGGTGATCCTGAGGTGTGTGCTTCTCTCCCTTGACAGATGAGGGGACGGTCAGTTTGCTGAGATGGGGGTTGGTGGCTGGCTGCACGTGGGCTTTAAACACACACGTGCACACTCACACTCACGCATGCTCACACTCATGTATGATGCACACATGCATGCCCCCCACCCCAATGCACTTCTGCCCGGATATGGTCCAGCTCGATGGGGCAAATCTTGTAAAATTAAGACATCTCAAATCTATTGGAAATCAAATGCATCCCATCACATCCATTATGTCCTTAGTTTATTTTTTTGGCCGTGCCACACGGCATGCGGGATCTTAGTTCTCTAACCAGGGATGGAACCCAAGACCCCTCCCGTGGAAGCACGGAGTCTTAACCACTGGACCGCCAGGGAAGTCCCACATCCGTTATGACCTGACGGTTGTCTAAGGAAAGCTGGTGGAGAGGACTACACTGCACCCGTGAGCACTAACTTCATTCATGGCCCATTTATAGTCAAGCAGGGACAGACTGCATTCATGTTCGTCCCCACGACGTGGCTGAACGCGTGGCAGAGAGCAGGCGCTCTATAAAGTTTATTTCATAAAATAATCAGTAAACCCACATTCTAGAATGCTAAGAGGGTTTGGGTCATTGTTCAGGGTTCAGTCAAAGAGGAATTCACTTGCCTTTGGATAGAAGAGGTGTTTCTATCCAGATTAAAAAAGAAACACAAAGATTGCCCCTGGTAAGAGTAAACGAGGACTTCCCTGGCAGTCTAGTGGTTAAGACTCCGCGCTTCCACTGCAGGGGGCGCGGGTGCGATCCCTGGTCGGGGAACTGCGATCCCTGGTCGGGGAACTAATATCCCGTGTGCCGTGCGGCATGGCCAAAAAAGAGAAACCGAATCTCCACTGCACGATTTGGTTAAGGGCCTTACTGTCAGAAGTCCTTTGTCTGAGATCGGGCTCCGTCAGATGCTCGTGAGCAATTTCCTAATCTGATTTACTGCCTATTCCCCTCCCAGGGGCTGGCCCTCCGACCCTGTGTATGTACGTGATGTGTTAGCTAGTGGCTGATAAAAGGCCGAGTCAGTCAGTCCTTCCTGTGGACGCGGACAATACGCACAGCCTCTTGGCTGCAGTATGGGTGCCACGATGGAAAGACACCGCTCTGCGCCTGCTCCTTCCTTCCTGTGCCTCAGTTTCCCCACTGGTAACACAGGGAGCTAGTCTGGACCACCTCTGAGGGCCCTGGAGTCTACGCGTCCTTTCCTCTCCGATCCCTCGGGAAGATCTGTGCTCCCTGCTTCTCCGACTGAGAGGCAAC